TACCTACCTACATATAGGCGAGAATTTTACACGATAGAATTAAATAACCATGACGCGCACGCGACATAAGACACGCGATTAACTACGTGTTGCTGCTGTGGGATCTTTTCCCTGTGCTGTTTATGATTAAGAAATTTCTCCGAATAATCATGCGAATTCAGATAGTCCGTAACGAAGTATAGCAGTATAATTAGAGGTCGTATCTAAGATAGTTTCTGGATTTTGAATTTTCGCGGGTATCAATAAGAATTTTTCATTGCGCCTTTAGCATCGATCATGCAATGACAAGACGAACATCCATCGAGGTGCCGAGTTTGCTTTTCAATATGCGCGGAAGATAAATTTGCGTCTGTTAAGCAGCGACAGAATCGAGACAAGCATCCTTGGGTGACTCTTTGACGGGAATTCGAAAAGGGGTTGAATAACGTTGGGACATTTTTTTGACACAGAGGGTGATGACGTTTCGTCGAAATGGTCAGGGGTCAGGAAAACGTATAAGGGGTGGGTGCTATTAGTCAGGCTAAAATCTACGGAAAATTTGTCATTGACGAAGCTCACGCACCTCGTGCCTCGAAGCCACGTGTGCGGGATCGTGAACTTAAAAATTATTGAAATCAATTGCGAGCCTGGAAAACTTTTTTTTGTCACTCAAGCCAAGTCAAAGCTTTCAGAGATTCCCTTTTTCCATTTCTGAGGTTTTTTCCCTCAAGATAGGTTATTTCATCTTCTACAGCCTACTTTATTCGCACCCTCTTTTCGCTCTCACCCCGTGCTCCGTTCATCTCGATTCGACCCTCGTCACTACAACCCTTCACGTATAAATATATAGGGCAGACGTATCTTAGCATTGCAATCTGCAATCAAAATTGGATGAGTTTGTTTGTCGTAAAATTTACGGGGGTAAAAAGTGAAGGAAAAAAAAAAAGTTATGTCTTTTATGTTTTTTCGGTACTTGCTCGTAACTGTGTTGACGCAAGTACTAATTACGTCATGACAGACGTACCATTTATTTTACCCTAGGAAAAATGTCCTGTCTGTAACAACGTGCGATATTAACTGCTCGTAGAGTTTCGGCGAGTAAAATCGATTCGACACTGACTTCAATTGGGACAGATAAAGCGCCTTGATAAGTCTAACCGAGAGATTCGAAAAGAACGATAAACTCATATCGGCTGATTCGTCGGTTTTATAGGAAAACTTCGTTAAAAAGAAAAATATTCTTGCAACGACAAATGTACCTTAACCATTTTTAATACTCCACCTACCAATTACAGCGGACAGACTCATTGATTAGGATTGATAAATGGAATTCTTTTTAACGTGGGTATATTCAATTTTTATAAGTGAAATATCGATTGCGCTTTTCTGCAATCACCAAACATTCATTGACTATTCAGCGCGCATAGTTCGTACGATCCTGTAAGAAACCGACGCGGAGTTCCTTCTTATTCCCTTAACCGGCTATCGTCCCCTTTAGGGAGTACATGCAGGCGTAAACTGAGATTACAGTATTACCTTCTTTGGATTATTTAACTTTCCACTACGTCATTTCGCGTTGATGTATCCCACTGTGGAATTCCTGTAAGATTGGCTACACTATTGCTGTTTCTGTTAGTTATTGCGTTTGCCGTTGGCGGCGCTAGCTCCGTCGAATACGCCGCTTCTTACCAATGTTATTAACCAAAGCATTTTGTGACAACTTACTCGCCCTCATTCGCTCGTGGACGGTACAACGGTACGTAGGTCTTGGAAGTAGGAGTTGAAAACAGCTGATCATCCAAGTAAGATCCCTCGTATTAATGGAACCGTAAATATTCTCACAGACTTATATTAATTTAACATTATCGTATATTCTGCTGAAGGGCTAAGGCGCGTCATTTTTCGTCTTTGTCGTTTAATAACTTATACTACGTTGCTTTATAATCATAATCAAATGTTGCGTACGTGTGATAACGATGACCCTGATTTTGGACACTAAGCAGACAGGCGATATCCGATAAAAAAAATGGTATGCTTCCCTAGCCAAAATATAACCTTGCGAACGTGACATAGATATTCGTTGACGTCGCCCGAGGATGCTTTGTACGTTATTATATCGCCCGATAATATTCAGTGCCGTATATCGAGTATTGATGATATTAATTTTTGAACGTGGATGGATTTTCCGTTAGCTCGCAGCGAGGAAGAATTGAAAGAATTACGTCATAGGGAAATCAGGGAATCAAATAGTAATCGATGTGAAAGCATGTTTAAAAAATAATTAGATAAATATATATTATAAAAGCTCGACCTGTTTAGCGTTATAGATATATCAGTGGGAAGTGTTAATTAAGAAGATATAATAATTTAATTATAGATTATTGATAGAATTCATATCTCTTTATGTACATTATATTCACACACGAGCAGTCGCTTTGTTCGTGGTGCATTATGGGACTTTTGAAAGTGTGTGAAAGCTCTCTCGAAAGCTTTTATTATGGAATTAGTATCTTCATTGGAATTTCTATCGGTAGAATCAGTAGTCATTGATACTTAGCATTTTTCTACCGATCACTTGTAACAAGCACATAGATTGGTGATAGTACGGTGAAAATATTTTTTTTTTTTCTTTAAATCCGTGACGTTTCCAACCCTTCTTATCAGTCTGACAGCCAATATCTGATTTAATGCAAATCAGCAGATATTCTTACCCCTTAAATTGGCTAGATTCAATTGGACTGCCTAGAAGTAGAGGACTGATTGGCTATCGACGGATTGGACATTGAACGAATAGAGTCATTGGTCTTTCGTTACAAGGCTTTCTGACATTTATTTATTTAGCTAATAGATAGTGTCTACATTTTGTAAGAAACAAATTGAGACGAAATTGAATTTTCAATTAAAGTCAATTTTGAATCGATGCACTCGTACGGGTTGGCTGCTCGGAGGTTAACAATGATATTTGAAAAAGGTTTAGTGCAATGTTCCATAGGGTTTCTTTCTATCGTAAAGTAAGAATAGAACGAAGATCCCCCATGCGATCTTATACTTCTCATAGGAGATTCAAGCAGAATCGAATTTTGAATTTTTCAAATTTTAAAGAGGATCGGAAACTATTTGCCGTCGGTCAGGGAGACAAGAGAGGCGTAGATGTATGTGGATATTGGGATAAGCTTTGAATAAAATTGCAGCGCGTTTCCGTAGTTCTGGGCGGTTGGGATTCGGTTCGAGATGAAGGATGATGAGGGTGGTTTTCGCATAACGCGCCTGATAAAATAGTGGCGAGATAATAAAAAAAAAAAAGAAAAAAAAATCGAATTTACGAGGCCGGAAGGTATGGCTTTGATAAAGGGCCGAATATTTGGCAGTTTCGTATTGGCATCCGGCGGATCCTCGGATGTTGAGTCAAGCTTGCGGATCAAGGGTTAATGGCGAAGGGTTGAATGACTATGGAGTACAGTCAGCTGGAACCGCAGAAAACTAAAGATCCGGGAAAGCGGCTTACCCCGTATTTATTCGTCGAAGGGGGTCTCAAGGAAAATCATATAAAGCACCATTGAGCACGTTTATAATGGTTATTGCTTAAGGTAAAATAGGGATTCTTGGCATTATTTCAACAATTTTCACGACCCCATTGCGATGACACTGATTTCTCGATCACGTACGAGTCACGTTTTCGGCATTTAAAATAGAACGAGTATTTCTCTCTCTCTCTTTCGATACGGTTAACTACACCGATTTCTCGTTAGTTGAAAATTAGCCCTTAGTTTGTTTTAGTATTTATTTTATTTTTTTTATTTTTAAGTATATTTCAGTATTTTGATTTTACACTCTATTTCCCCAAAGGCGAGTGACTCGAGTAGCATTCAGATTGGGGGTATACGTAATTTTTAATTAACATTCACATAAGTGGCTGAGGAATGTGCGTTTTCTAAAGTATTGCATGTACTATAGATATAGACTCGACTAGTCGTCCGTGACGTCTAGCGTGTAGAAAATTTGCAAAGAGGGTAAAAACTCGTAGATGGAAATATCAAAAGACTATCGACGGATTAATAAAGATATAGGATGGCTAGATGTAAATAGAAAAAGTCGTGAAAGCTTTCAGAAAAGTATTAGTATCGAAAAAATATATTTTCATAGACGTGTACTCGTGTTTATCGTTTGCGAATTTGCCAAGCCTGGTAATCCTATATACATTTTCCAGTAATGGCAAAGACGTGAAAATGGCTGGCACTCTACGGAAAAGAAAAAGAAAATCTCGCCGTAGGCGTTCGATTATTCGTGCAAGAGTGGCAGAGGGACATCGGCAACGGCAAAAGCAATGGCAATGGCACAGCAGAAGGTTGCAGATTGATATTGGATTCGCGAAATGGGATAAGTGGGG